CAAGGACAACAAAAAGTTATATAGGTCTTGGACAAAGATCATATTTCAAGATGGCTTCAAATATTCAGTTAATCAAAATCAAACTCACAAGACTACATCCAGATAAAAATTTCAGAGACCACACCCAGAAATACATCAGATTTTTTTTTCTATTATAAATCCAGGGAAAAAATAAGATTTTTGAAAAGTTTGGTGTAAAATAAAATGATTCATAGTAATAACTAAAGAAATTTCCTTGAGTATTTGGAATACATGGCATCCTATTAATGGTGTACATATTTCCATTTGGAGTTGTTTGACATGTTTGAAGTTAATAACCATTATGCTGCCACTACAGTGTGATAGTAGATTATTAAATAAACACACATTCCTAGCATTTACCTCTTCTGTTAGAGTATTGTTGAGCAATATTTTTCTTCATATTTAAGCTTTAACATTATGTACCCAGACATAATTTTAGCTTTTATTACTAAATTGATAAATTAAGAAAATTTTAATTTAGATTAAGTTTCACAATCTATAATTATTTATCTGTATTCATTCTAAAAAGATTTGAAGTAATTTATAATGAAGTATAGAGATGTAGGTTTAAAAAAAAATGGGAAAAGAACAACATTTAGTTTATGAATAGAATGGTGGAACTGGAAGGTGTAGGGATAGTGAATTACTAACCTGAAAACTTAAGCATGAATAGCTGTTAAAATTTAGTAGAAAACCTTGAGAGGCTGAGGCGGGTGGATCACCTGAGGTCAGGAGTTCGAGACCAGCCTGGCCAACATGGTGAAACCCCATCTGTACCAAAAATTAGCCAGGCGTGGTGGCAGGTGCCTGTAATCCCATCTACTCTGGAGGCTGAGGCAGGAAGAATCACTTAAATCCAGGAGGCGGAGGTTGCAGTCAGCCGAGATTGCACCATTGTACTCCAGCCTGCGTGACAAAGCGAGACTCCAGCTAAAAAAAAAATTGTAGAATACTTAACTCTTGACTTCTGGTAAAAAGAGAAATTTAAATTGCATAGTTCTTATCAACTACTAAAATGAAACATACTGATTGATAAGAAGAAATAAATATTGCCTAGCATTGAACTTTAAGAAGAATTTACCACACAGATCTTGTTAAGGACATTGAACAAACACAATTATCAAATTGCAATTTAATAAAAAATACCAAAACATTCCTCACATGGTCATTTCCACATAGGCTTTTGGCAAAAGTTTGAGAACATAATGTTCAATAGATTTCTATGAAAGCTGAAGAAATGTAAATGGACTTTGTCATTTTGGGGTAATGGTAATGTGACTAGTAATAGACATAGTAATTTCTGTGCCTCTTAAAGTATCCCACATAGTAAACAAGCAAAAATATTGAATGCAACACATTTTTGAGACTCACAAACCTTCTGAAATCTCTGATTTTCATTTATTCAGCAAGTATTTACTGATGTTATGACATATATGCCTATTCTGTACATGCCTTAGAATTTTCATGAATTTATTGCATCTTTAGATGATCCTTAAGTATTTATATATAATGTGAATAACCACCTAAGGAAGGGTTATACTTACTATTAATTCACTCTGAGTGTATACATATTAAATTCTATATTCAACTAAAATTTTCATGAAATCTATAGATAATTTTTACCTATAGCAAGGTGAAGATATGCAGTTAAAAAGTAAAAAGCTTCAACAAAACTACATGAGTCATGAATGCCACCATCATCCATCCACTCACCCAATCCAGTCATGCTTAGTTCTTCCATCTCCTAGACTTCTCTACTCCCAGCAAGTCAGTGATTAGATTATCTTTATTTTATTACATCACTTCTTGTATCATTCAGGATCCAATCAGAGAGTAGAACTATGAGGAGAGATACATACATATAATATGTATTATAAATATACACATAAATATTCCCTCTCCCTCCCCATCTTCTATTCCTGTCCTCCCACACTCCTCTCTCCTTCTATTTATTAAGAAAGGGATTTGTTACAGGGATCTGACCTTCTGTAATTGTGGGAGCTGGTTGAACATTCTCTGTAATGCTGTTTGTTGTCTTTGCCTCAGATGCTAAAGATTGAAGTCCACTGCCTGCTACTTCCACTTCCACTGCCAGCTTCAAATAATCATCACCTCTTGACTATACCATTTTTTGCTTGGTCTTCTTGTTCTGCCTTTGCCTCAATACTATCTATTCTCCACAAAGCATCCAATGATCCTTTTATAAGTCACATAACTTCATTTATCTGCTTGAACCCTCTAATTTCTGCAGCTGGCTTGAATTTCTCCTCCGAAAATGGGATTTTCCTTTCTATCATATTGTCAGCCTACAAATTTTCCAAACTTTTATGCTCTGCTTCCCTTATAAAACTGAATGCCTTTAACAACACCCAAGTCACATCATGAATGCTTTCCTGCTTAGAAATTTCTTCTGCCAGATACCCTAAATCATCTCTCTCAAGTTCAAAGCTCCACAAATCTCTAGGGCAGGTACAAAATGCTGCCAGTCTCTTTGCCAAAACATCAAGAGTCACCTTTGCTCCAGTACCCAACAAGTTCCTCACCCCCATCTAAGACCACCTCAGCCTGGATTTCATTGTCCATATCATTATCAGCATTTTGGTCAAAGCCATTCAACAAGTCTCTAGGGAGTTCCAAACTTTCCCACATTTTCCTGTCTTCTTCTGAGCCCTCCAAGCTGTTCCAACCTCTGCCTATTACCCAGTTTCAAAGTTGCTTCCACATTTTCAGGTATCTTTTCAGTAGCACCCCACTCTACTGGTATCAATTTACCTTATTACTCTGTTTTCACGCTCCTGATAATGAGACTGGGCAATTTACCAAAGAAAGAGGTTTATTGGACTTAGAGTTCCACATGGCTGGGGCTGCCTCTCAACCATAGTGGAAGGCAAGGAGGAGCAAGTCACACCTTACATGGATGGCAGCAGGCAAAGAGAGAACTTGTGCAAGCAAAGTTTTGTTTTTAAAGCCATCAGATCTTGTGAGACTTATTCACTATCACGAGAACAGCACAGGAAAGACCTACCCTATAGTTCAATTACTTCCCACCAGCTTCCTATCCGAACACATTGAAATTGTGGGAATTACAGTTCAGGATGAGATTTGGGTGGGTCCACAGCCAAACCATATCAGCTACCATATATATTATGCCAGCTGTGATAAATTTTATGGAGAAAATTAAAACATGGTAGTGAAAATGAGAATTTTGTGGGATGGTTTAGGTTGCCATTTTAGTAGAATGGCTCTTCCTGCAGAGAGACTCTAATAGAGAGCTTGAGAGCTCCATGAAGGCCCTTCTTTTCCTCTTTGCTCTAGCATTTTAAAACATTATTATTCTGTTTTGAAAACATAATTAACTTTGGGGCAGATTTTTTTTTTTTTTTACTATTTATTCAAATACTCATTGAGAACAATTTTTTGTGAAGTATATTACTAACTTGTATGTTTTCTAAATTATTCTTTAAAATTATTTTTGTAACTAACAAGCCATACTTGGAGTAAATGCATGTTTGGCCAGTATCCATCCATGCCTGTCAGATAGAAATAACTGCACAGCATTCATTTTAAGATGCAACAGGAATAAATGCAGTTTGTAGTTATAGGTATGAATTATAGTCACATTTTCCCTAACTGCTCATCTCAGAATTATTCACACACATTTTATTTCTTTAAACACACATCCTAATTCCAAAATAATTGATCACAATAACTGGTTACAATTATTTTGTGCCTACAATAATTGGTCACAGTTATTTTGTGACCACAATAATTGGTCACAAAATGATCTTTCTTTTTTTTGCATGCTTGTTCATAATGAGGTGTTCATGTGCATGTTAATTGTCATTGTTTTCATATTATAGTTGTTCAATAAATATTTGTTGTCTAAATAAAGGAAAACTACATGAGTCTAGTTTTAGAAGAACATTTTATATTGCTAGTAATACAAACATTTTATATTGCTAATAGGCAAGGGATTTAAAATATCTAGAAAAAGTTTCAGACTCTTATAAAATTTATCTGGCTATTTAAACCAGCCGTTTGTATTTCTGATAAAAGCAGGTGTTTCTGGTCAAGTTAATATGTATTTATTTTGAACATTGGCTTTGGGAGCCCAGACAGCTAACATATGTGCCAGATGGTTTTAATCATAATGGGTAATAAAAAATGAAAAGTAAAATGTTGAAATGCAAGACCTATATTTAACTCGAAAGCATAAACCTAACTATTTTCTCAACTCCTGTCCCATGTTTTAGTGGGAAACTTTGTGTGATATTAGTTTGAAATACATAAGGAACCTTTCCAAAGACAGTAAGCAAAAAGGATGACATTAACTTTATAGAGGCTCTCCTATGAGAGACAGTATGAGGCATTATGTGGACATTTGCAATAGATTTTACATGTTGAATATTCCTTATCCAAAATGCTTAGGACCAGAAGTGTTTCAGATTTCGAATTTTTTCAGATTTCTAAATACTTGCATATACATAATTGGGATATTTTGGGGATAGGACCCAGTGTAAACACGAAATTCATTTATGTTTCATATACACCTCATATATATATATAGCCTAAAGGTAATTTTATACAGTATTTTAAATAGTTTTGTGCATGAACAAAGTTAGTATACATTGAGCCACGAGAAAGTAAAGGTGTTACTATCTCAGTCACTCATGTGGAAATATGTGGTTGTTTGGCATCACCAGCATTCCTGACTCTGAATTTATTTGCTACCAAAGAGCCATCATTTTCTTAGACTTATCCACATGTAAATAATTAACAGTAAAAATATATGACCTGCCATTAATACAGTAAAATAATGCGTTCAGAATAACTAAGCAGCACAGTAGCAGCACCAGAATACCTGTACTGGCTGCAAAATAACAGCAACCACAAGCAACAGCAGGCTTGCTGTCTCCACCTATGATGCTGTGTTTTGATTAAAAAGTCACTGTACACTCTATTTCATTTTATTTTTTTAGGTAAGAAGAAACACTAGAAGCACCTGAAGGACTAGGAAGTGGGTGCTCTAGGGATGATTAGGTAATCTGCTAAATGGCTTTTTAAAAAATTTCCTCCAGAGTTATCTGCCTCATAAACAATGGTTTTTGTCTTAGAATTTTCTCTTTCATTTTGTAAACTGACATGATTTCTTGTTCAATTATGAATGTATACTGCTCTAGTCCTTCAATAATCCATCATACATTTTAACTATGCCTTCTATAGGCACCTTTTCTTTGGGTTAATCACATCATCTTCATCATCACTATTACTGTGATCATCTCGATCCAGAACCATTTCAGCTATTTCAACATTGGTCAATGAACAACTGGAGGCTCATTGTCAATGTTAAAATCCTCTTTGATATCTACGTCTCCCAGCTTGCTGATGAATTCCGAAAGCATATTATTTTGAATACATAAGGAGATCAGACATCCATTTTGTCTTAACTTGACATATGAAATCCCTCAAAATCACTGCTTTGTTCATCATCATCACTGCACATAGTCACAGGCTAGAGACTGCAGGCATGCAAAACTGTATCTTTAGTCACTGTCTTCCAAGCATTGGCAACAGCATATATGGCATCTTTCATGCTAAACTCGTTTTGCAAACCTTCCACACCCACACATCTCTGTCTTCACTGCTGCTAGAATACTGTTCAGGAAAGTGTTTTTATATTTACCCTTTGTTGATCTAAGGATACCCTGGCCACATGGCTGAATTAATAATCACATGTTGGGGATAGTAGATGGCATAAACATTTTTGATGAGAATTTCAGCAGGAGGATGAAAAGAACAGTTGTCATGAATAACAAAATCTTGTGGTCATCATCCAGTTCAGCTTCCCTGCAGAGAGCATGAACCTCTGGTACAAAACGTTGGGAAACCAATCAGAAAATATGTCCCTGGTGATCTGTGCACTTTAGTTAGCATAATGGTCTGGTAGGAAATCCACTCCTTTAAAGTAGGAGGGACACAAACTTTTGTCTGTCACAGCAAGTTTACAATGTGTGTGCATGCTGCATTAGCACATCCCAGCACAGTTATTCTGTCTTTGGCATCCTTAATTCCTACAGGGGTCATCTCATCAGCTGTAGTCAGTGTCTTCCTGGGGCAGTAACACAAAACAGTGATGTTTTATAAACATTATAGACTTGTTCTGGTGTCAGAAAATCTGACACCAGATAACTTTGGCACACTCATCAATCATTGCTGCTTTATGATCAGCAGATGCTTTATCACCTCGAATCGTAAAAAAATTAATGTTGTATCTTTTCTTAAGTGACTGCAGCCAGATATATTGAATATTCACAGTTCCCTTCAATTTTACATGATCACATGACATTTTAAGTGGCAAATGTTCACTGCATTGCTGATGGATCCAATCTTTCAATACATGATCAAAATCATTAGTTTTATGCAGTGGTTTTCTGTTTTTCACTAATTTTTAATCATCATTTTTAACATAGAACTCCAACAGTTTATCCTTCTGTTGTTTCAGGTCATATATGGTGGTCATTCTAACACCATACTCGTCTATGAAGATGTTTCACATCTGCACCACTGTCCAGTTTCTCCAACAGCTTCACTTTCTGTGCTATACTATGAACATAAATGCTTCCTCTTTTTCTGGTATCTGCAGGCCTTTTGAACACTTTTCAACAATATCTTTACACCACAGAGTAGAGAATAAGCAAGAAAACACAGGGAGTAATGCATATAGATCTTTACCTCATGTAGGTAAACTGCTACTGGCACATCCAGCCTACACATGTCATTTTATTACATTTTATGGATGTGCTTTCATGGAGGAATTTGGGCATGCACAGAAAATATATATTGCAGCTGAAGTGGGGTGGAAGGGCCTTTTTTGCCCCTGGAGATGCTGAATAAACTCTGCCTTGTATGCCTGAATTTTTACTGCGGTTCATCACTTGGGGTCAGGTGCTTCAAACTTTGGAGCATTTTGGATTTCAAATTAGGGACGCTTAATCTTTATGTGTTCTTAATCCCATTCACAGCACCTCATATATGAGGAAACAGACTCAAGTAACTTGGCCAACAAAGTGCACCAAGTGAGTGTGGTAATGATAGCAATGACATGAGGAAGCTGTTTCCAAAGGGGGTTAGGCAACCTCCCCAAAGTTGCTCACTAGGAAAGTGGCAGAGCCGGGATCTAACTCCATAGTCCAAAAGCAGCACTGTCAGCCTGGAGAGACCGCAGAAACTTATAATTTTAGAATTGAAAGAGATTTCACAGATCATCTAGTTTGTTCAACTACTCCAGCACACCAATTTTACAGATCTAGAAACTGAAGTACAATAATATTTTTTTATTATACTTTAAGTTCTGGGGTACATGTGCAGATTGTGCAGGATTGTTAGATAGGTATATGCATGCCTTGATGGTGAAGTACAATAATATTAATGTGCTTTCAAATGAGGATAAGATGTGAAATTATTAGTTGAATTGAATTTTTTGCTGAGTGTGTTGTAGGCATTCACATTTTAGTAAGTAAAGGAGAGGATGCTGTGATAATACCTGGAGAGAAGGATGTTGCTGGCAGTGAGCTAATCATCAGTGAACGAAGTAAACAAGATCCAGGTGTTTGTGCTTTCCAGGGCTCCCCACTCTCTCTCTGTTCCCCTATTTTGATATACTTAAAAACTGTTGAGGGCACCCTGGGAGTTTAGAGAAATCATAAAGGTATATATTAGGAGTATGAAGTTCCCCAAAATTAGCCCATTCTTTACTAGTTTCCATTTGGAAGTACTTTTGTTATGTAAAACAATTACAAGAAAGTTGCTCGTTAAAAGGAAATATCTATAGATCTGTAAGCCTGAACGGTAAGGTTCTCTAGATGATCTGTTTACTAGATCTCTTGCAGAATAAAACCATTTGTAATGTCATAGAGTCTTTTTTTGCTTTGGACAGAAATGAATACTTTACTCATGGTATTTAATTTTTAAAAAGACAACTCCTTTGCCTCTCATTCAAAGCAAAGCTCATCCCCCCCTACTGTCTTCAGCCATGTCCAGTTAAGTGTACACACTCCACAAAGCTGCCTTCTATCAGAGAACTTTTCCTATGAGAGAGCCTCTTTCAGGTTGCAGATTCCACAAACTCCCTCTCTGTAAAGAGCTGGTTTCAGTGTTTCTCATCCTTATAATCAGGAAGTTCATCTCTGCATTTACCACATGTAATCCTACTATATTTCTCCTGGCTCTGCCTGCTGTGCCACTGGGACAAGCTAGACAAAATTCAGTTGCTAGGGAGCCTTACCAAACTGTCAAGGGAATGGCTACTGCCATAGAAGTGCCAGAACAAACTGTAATGTGCCCACCATGCCCTTTAAGTGACAGTAACCCCACTCTGATGCCCAGCTCAGCCTGGCCACTCCTGGAAGTTTTAGTACTTCCAGTTTATTTTATCCCTTTTCCTCACATTTCCCATCAATATAACTACTTATTAGCTATTAAGAGTGGAGAAAAGTGATTATCTAATTAAATATTTTTCATTTAAGTATGAATAATTTTAAAAAGACTTTTTACTCAAGTATTTACTTTTTTTTTTTTTTTTTTTTGAGACAGAGTTTCACTCTTGTTACCCAGGCTGGAGTGCAATGGCGCGATCTCGGCTCACCACAACCTCCACCTCCTGGGTTCCAGCAATTCTCCTGCCTCAGCCTCCTGAGTAGCTGGGATTACAGGCATGCGCCACCATGCCCAGCTAATGTTTTGTATTTTTAGTAGAGACGGGGTTTCACTATGTTGACCAGGATGGTCTCGATCTCTTGACCTCGTGATCCACCCGCCTCAGCCTCCCAAAGTGCTGGGATTACAGGCTTGAGCCACCGTGCCCGGCTAGGTATTTACTTTTTAAAGTAAGCACCTACTGATTAAAGAATAAAATGCTTTTTACTGAACCGTATTAGCAGTTGGGGCTAATATTGCCTCCTTTTAGGTCTGTTTAGAATAAGTGTAATCAGAAACTATAAAGGTGCCGTTACAACTGATCCCAAAGAAGTACAAAAGATTCTCAGAGACTCCTGTGAACAGCTCTACTCACATAAACTAGAAAATCTAGAAGAAATTGATAAATTCTTGGAACATACAACCTCCCAAGATTGAATTAGGAAGAAATTGAAGCCCCAAACAGACCAATACTGAGTTTCAATATTGAAACGGTAATAAAAAATCTACCAATCAAAAAAAAAGCCCAGGACCAGATGGATTCACAGCTGAATTCTCCAGATGTACAAAGAAGGGCTTGTTATGAATTCTACTGAAAGTATTCCAAATAATTGAGGAGGATAGACTCCCTCCTAACACATTCTATGAAAACAGCACCACCTTGATACCAAAACCTGGCAAAAACTTAAGGAAACAAGAAAACTACAGGCCAGTATTTCTAATAAACATAGATGCAAAAATTCTCAACAAAACACTAGCAACCAGATCCAATAGCACATCAAAAAGTTAATTCACCATGATCAAGTAGGCATCATTCCTGTGACGCATGGTTGGCTCAACATACACAGATCAATAAATGTGATTCACCACATAAACAGAATTGAAAACAAAAACCATATGATCATCTCATTAGACATGGAAAAACTTTGATAAAATCTAACATCCTTTCATGATTTAAAAAAAAAAACCCTCAAAAGACTAGAGGCATCAAAGGAACATACATTAAAGTAATGAACCATCTCTGAGACGCCCACAGCCAACATCATGCTGAACAGGCAAAAACTGGAAGCATTCCCCTTGAGAACTAGAACAAGACAAAGATACCCACTCTCACCACTCCTATTCAACATAATACTGGAAATGCTAGCCAGAGCAGTCAGGCAAGAGAAAGAAAGAAAAGACATCCAGATAGGAAAAGAAAAAGTCAAACTATCTCACTTTGCAGATGATATGATTCTATACCTGGAAAACCCTAAAGACTCTGCTAAAAGGCTCCTGGAGCTGAAAAATTGCTTTAGTAAAGTTTCAGGATATAAGATTAAATGTACAAAAATCAGTAGCATTTCTATACAACAATTATGTTCAAAATTAAAGCCAACTCAAGAATACAATCCCATTTACAATATCCACAAAAGAATAAAATACCTGGGAGTACACCCAAGGAGATGAAAGGTCTCTGCAAGGAGAGCTACAAAACTGCTGTAAGAAATCACAGGGCCAGATGCGGTGGCTCACACCTGTAATCCCAGCACTTTGGGAGGCCAAGGCAGGCGGATCACCTGAGGTCAGGAGTTTGAGACCAGCCTGGCCAACATGGTGAAACCCCATCTCTACTTTTTAAAAAATACAAAAAGTAGCCAGGCGTAGTGGTGTGCACCTATAGTCCCAGATACTCTGGAGGCTGAGGCAGAAGAATAGCTTGAACTCGGCAGGTGGATGTTGCAGTGAGCTGAGATCACACCATTGCACCCGAGCCTGGGCAACAGAGCAAGACTCCGTCTCAAAAAAAAAAAAAGAAAGAAATTACAGGTCACACAAACAAATGGAAATGACAATTCATGCTCATGGATTAGAAGAGTTAATATCATTAAAATGGCCATACTGCCTAAAACAATCTGTAGATTCAATGCTATTCCTGTGAAATTACCAAAGTCATTTTTCACAGAAATAGAAACAACTATTATAAAATAAGTTTATAATGTCTATTCTGGACATAGATCTTGGGAAAGAACTTATGACCAAGTCCTCAAAAGCAATTGCAACAAAAACAAAAATTGACAAGTGGGATCTAATTAAACTAAAGAGCTTATTATGCACAGCAAAAGAAACTTATCACCAGAGTAAACAGGCAACCTCCTGAATGGGAGGAAATATTCACAAATTATGCATCCAACAAAGTTCTAATATCCAGAATCTGTAAGGAACTTAACAAACAAAAACCTTACTGAAAAATGGGCAAAAGACATGAGCAGACACATCTCAAAAGAAGACAGACAAGTGGCCAACAAACATATGAAAAAATGTTCCACATCACTGATCATTAGAGAAATGCAAATCAAAACCACAATGAGGGCCGGGCATGGTGGTTCATGCCTGTAATACCAGCACTTTGGGAGGCCAAGGTAGGTGGATCACCTGAGGTCAGGAGTTTGAGACTAGCCTGACCAACATGTTAAAACCCCATCTCTACTAAAAATACAAAAAAATTAGCCCAGTGTGGTCGTGTGTGCCTGTAATCTCACCTACTTAGGAGGTTGAGGCAGGAGAATTGCTTGAACTCGGGAGGAGGAGGTTGCAGTGAGCCAAGACTGTGCCACCGTACTCCAGCCTGAGTGACAAAGTGAATATCTCAAATACGCAGACATACACAAAAACCACAATGAGATACCATCTCACACAAATCAGAATGGCTGTTATTAAAAAGTTAAAAAGATAACAGATGCTGGTGAGGCTGTGGAGAAAAGGGAACGCTTATACACTTTTGGTGGGAATGTAAATTAGTTCAGCCACTGTGGAAGGCAGTTTGGAGAATTCCCAAAGAACTCAAAAGCAAATTAACACTCAACCCAGCAATTCCTTTACTGGTCATATATCCAAAAGAAAACAAATCATTCTTTACAATGTGTCTCACTTGTTCATCACAGCACTATTCACAATATCAAAGTCATGAAATCATTCTAGGTGCTCATCCACGGTGAACTGGAGAAAGAAAATGTACATATACTTTGTGGAATACTACAGTGTAATTAAAAAGAACAACATCATGTCCTTTGCAGCAACATGAGTGCAACTGGAGATCAACCTAAGCAAATTAATGCAGGAATAGAAAAACACATACTGCAATCCCAGCACTTTGGGAGGCCGAGGCCGGCAGATCACAAGGTTAGGAGTTTGAGACCAGCCTGGCCCATATGGTGAAATTTTGTATTTTGTAAAAATACAAAAATAGCCAGGCATGGTGGCACATGCCTGTAGTCCCAGCTACTCAGGAGGCTGAGGCAGAAGAATTGCTTGAACTCAGGAGGTGGAGGTTCCTGGGTGATGGGATCATTTGTACCCCAAACCTCAGCATCATGCAATATATCCAGGAACCTACCTGCACATGTACCCCCTGAATCTAAAGTAAATTTTGAAAAACTAACAAAACAAATAAATTTAGAAGTAGTAATAAAGGGTTTAGCAGATTATATTCATAAAGCAAATTCTATCTATTATTAGTATTAGGTATTAGTATTAGATACTATAGTGCAAATTATCTTTGATTATATAAATAATATTTGCATGGCTTCATCTGAAAAGCTTTCTGTTTTATTACAGTTCATGCTAATTGTTCTGAAATGCAAAGTAGAACTGTAAGCTCAGTTTTTAAAATTTGTTCTTATAGGTCTGATTATATGTCCTTTAAAGATTTTGGTTGCTTTTTCCTGGAATCTCCAATTAATTTGTACTGTATCCATAAGCTTTTATTTTTCTTATATTTCTGTGAAATGTGTATATTTTTAAATGTGAAAAGTCAAAGCAGAAACATTGCTACAACTAAACCCTAACAAATACTGAGAACCAAGGAAGGATAACCTCATGATTAGTAAATTTTATATTATTTCTATATAACAATGTTAGACTCATTTTAAAATATGCTACTTTCCTGACTCCTTTCTTTTCTGTTTTTGTTTTGTTTTGTTTTGTTTTGTTTTGTTTTGTTTTGTTTTGTTTTGTTTTGTTTTGTTTGAGTCTCACTGTCTCCCAGGCTGGAGTGCAGTGGCGTGATGGCTCACTCTGAGATTCTGGTTCTGGTGGTTCTCCTGCCTCAGTCTCCTGAGTAGCTGGGACTACAGAGGTGAGCCACCACTCTCAGCTAATTTTTGTATTTTTAGTAGAGAATGGGTTTCACAGGCTGGACATGGTGGCTAATGCCTGTAATCCCAGGACTTTGGGAGGCCGAGGCAGGCAGATCACCTGAGATCAGGAGTTCAAGGGCAGGCTGGCCAACATGGTGAAACACTGTCTCTTCTAAAAAGCACAAAAAAATTAGCCAGATGTGGTGGCAGGTGCCTGAAATCCCAGCTTTTTGGGAGACATAGGCAGGAGAATCACTTGAACTTTGGAGGCGGATGTTGCAGTAAGCTGAGACAGTGCCTTTGTACTCCAGCCTGGTCAACGAGAATGAAACTCCGTCTCAAAAAAATTTAAAAATTAGTTGGATGTGGTGGGACCTGACTGTAGTTCCCACTACTTGGGAGGCTGAGGTGAGAGGATTGTTTGAGCCTGGGAGGTGAGGCTGCAGTGAGCTGTGATCATGCCACTGCACTCCAGTCTGTGCGACAGAGTGAGAGAACCTGTCTCAAAAAGAAAAAAAAAAGGTAAAAGGAGGTCTTGAATGTTTCACTTTTACTCTCTTTATTAGGAGTATGAAATTTTTTATATGTAACAATTTAAATATGCTATTTTTCAAACAAAATACAAATGGTACTGTTACTTGTTGGATCATTTCTGTGTTCCCAACTTTGTGTGCATGCATTCTTTTTAAGCTATGATTTTGGACTCTCTTTGTATTTCAAAAACAATAAATTTTCTTTATAAAACTACCAAAAAGCAAGTGTTAATTTATTTAATATATTCTCCAGTTGAGAAATGGTCATGGAATCCAAGAGGCCATGTGTCGTGAAGTCAGAGAAATCATTCCTATGTTGTGGAGGCTGAACTGCTTCTGTAAGTACCTAGGTGGTCTGGCCGGATTTCCGGGTAGAATTATAATGATCTTTTATGTCATGATATGCCTTGCCCAAGTTGTGCAATGCAACTGTGAGAACCAAGCAAACCTTTTGTTCAACTAATTCAGTTCTGTTTCTTCTATGTCCAAATTAGGTTATTTCCATACAAACATGGTTTAATAGAATTTTTACCACCAGACAAGAAGGGTTGTAAAAATTTTTGTGGACGTAGTGATTAAAGAAAAACAAACTAGTTTGAAAATATGTTGTGAGCCAGCTAGGGCTCAGAGGACTTTATGGTCTTGATAAAATTCAGGTTCAGCCAAGAACAGGTGACATCAGATGCAATTGTTCTTTACAGGTGGCTCTCTCTATCTCCTTTCTACCCACCTGGGCTACCCACAAACTTCTTCCTCATCCTAAGACTCTGCCGCAAGTCTGGTAGGTGTGTCACATACTGCTGATACAATGCTGGAAGAGGCGCTTTTACTTCCTACTAAGGCCAAAGGCCAAGTTGGTCATTTGATTAGGAGTGAATGAGGTTGTTCTTCATCTGGGGCAGAAGATGGGAGCGAAAGAGGAGTATAAGAATGGTCCTGACAGGAGGGCATATTAAGTGTTAGCTTGAACTGTATCAAGTTTCTGTAGTTTTTACACAATGACTGATAGTCATCTGTTTCCTCTGAAGTAGATGATTTATTTTTATGCTTTGTGTTCTGCCTTCTAAATCTATTTTGAGAAAAATGTGAATCAACTAAGTTCAAACTCAATTTCAATTTGTACTTAATTCACTACCTTTTCTTTCCTTTTAAATTTTTATTTATTTATTTTTTTTTATTTATTTATTTTTGATACCAAGTCTTGTTCTGTCGCTAGGCTGGAGTGCAGTGGTGTGATCTCGGCTCATGGCAACCTCCGCCTCCTGGTTCAAGCAATTCTCCTGCCTCAGCCTCCCAATTAGCTGGGACTACAGGCGTGCACCACCACGCCCAGCTAATTTTTGTATTTTTAGTAGAGACAGGGTTTCACAATCCTGGCCAGGATGGCCTCGATCTCTTGACCTCGTGACCCGCCCACCTTGGCCTCCCAAAGTGCTGGGAGTACAGGCGTGAGCCACTGTGCCTGGCCAAGTTTTTATTTTTTTGAGATGAAGTTTCACTTTTGTCACCCAGGCTAGAGTGCAATGGCACCATCTCGGCTCACTGCAAACTCTACCTCCCCGGTTCAAGCGATTCTCCTGCCTCAGCCTTCTTAGTAGCTGGGATTACAGATGCTCACCACCATTTTCTGCTAATTTTTGTATTTTTAGTAGAGATGGGGTTTCTTCATGTTGGCCAGACTGGCCTCAAACTACTGACCTTGTAATCTGCCCACCTCGGCCTCGCAAAGTGCTGGGATTACAGGTGTGAGCCACTGTGCCCAGTCTTAATTCACTAGCTTTTCAAACACTAACCCCTCAAAGAAAAATAAAATAAGTCTGATCTAAAAAAATGATTTGGAAAATGTATTTTTAAAAAGAGAGGGAAAGAAATTGTCAACATATCTTTGGGCAGTTCTGTGCTATAATTTTACACTGTCAAGATCTGAAATTTCTAGGGACTCTGTTGCAAAAACTGCTCTTACATAAGGTATTTCTTCTTTGCCTTGTTCTATAATGTTTATAGCCTGCAACTGCTTTGTTATGAGGGTCTAACCCATATAAAGACACACAGATTGGTCAGGTGCGGTGGCTCATGCCTGTAATCCCAGCACTTTGGGAGGCCAGGGCAGGCAGATCATGAGGTCAGGCGATCGAGACCATCCTGGCCAACATGGTGAAACCCCGTCTCTACTAAAATACAAAAAAATTAGCTGGGTGTGGTGGCGCGTGCCTGTAGTCCCAGCTACTCAGGAGGCTGAGGCAGGAGAATCACTTGAATCTGGGCAGCGGAGGATGCCGTGAGCTGAAATCATGCCACTGCACTACAGCCTGGGCAACAGAGCAAGACTGTCTCAAAACAAAAAAGATATATAGATTATTAATCATATCTCTGTAATAAACAAATGATTACTGAAGGCCCACTATGTCCCAGTCACTGTATATGTGCCAAAGATAAAAAAATGAAACTCCCAGTCTTATTGGGGGTATATATACATAATAATATGAAACCGTCACAGAGACGTTAAAATAGACACCTACAAAGTACAACTGGGCCAGAAAATGGAACAACTAATTTTGCCAGAGAGAGTCAAATAATGTGGTAATATTTGATCAAGACCTTAAAGGATGACTAGAGATTCATCCAGTGGGTTTACTCAGTGGGAGTAGGCATTCCAATCACAGGGAACATTGTTTGCAAAAGTATGGAGGTCTGAAATGCAAGATAAACCCAGAAAGTGGCCTGGAACCACTGGAATTTAGGGTATAAAGATTAAGCATATCTCCCTCTTGCCAGTTGGCTGGCTCTCAGCTGCCTCTCACATTCCCCTCTTAGGATCCACTCCTGCCTCAGCTCCTGATGCAATAGGGCTCTTTCTCTCACCTAACACCTCTGGTCATCCAGTAGGTAATTTCTGAGCTAGTTTACAAGCATCAGACTCCTTCCATGAAATGGACACATCTTGTGCCTCTGTGTATATTACGTTCTAGCAAAATCAGTCTTATTACTTCAAACGTTTATGAAGGTTTATTCCTAAAGACTTTTGGCTATTTTCAAGTCAAATCTATCCTTGAAGAGTGAAGATTTGTCACCATTTGGGATACTTAAAAGAATATATTACTAGTCCTGAAAGTAATCCTGAGAGGTATACAAAAATAAAATGCCTTGAGAAATTATAGCCTTTTAAGATGATCCTTTGAAGAGAACCCTCCTCCTTTGGCTATGCAAGCTCTAAGGTTTTTTTTTTTTTTTTTTTTTTTTTTAGAGATGGGGTTTCACCATGTTGGCCAGGATGGTCTCGATCTCCTGACCTCATGATCCACCCACCTTGGCCTCCCAAAGTGCTGGCATTACAGGCGTGAGCCACTGCACCTGGCCAGCTCTAAGGTATTTTTAAATAGTCACATATTGTTAATTTTTTCTTCACAATTTTTTTTTTTTTGAGACGGAGTTTCGCTCTTGTTACCCAGGCTGGAGTGCAATGGCGCGATTTCGGCTCACCGCAACCTCCACCTCCCGGGTTCAGGCAATTCTCCTGCCTCAGCCTCCTGAGTAGCTGGGATTACAGGCACGCACCACCATGCCCAGCTAATTTTTTGTATTTTTAGTAGAGACGGGGTTTCGCCATGTTGACCAGGATGGTCTCGATCTCTTGACCTCGTGATCCACCCGCCTCGGCCTCCCAAAGTGCTGGGATTACAGGCTTGAGCCACCGCGCCCGGCCATATTGTTAATTTTTTAGGTATGATAATAATGCTGTGGTTATGTTTTTTAGAAAGTCACTTTTTGGAGATATATACTAAAATAATAAGGATAAAACGATGTGACACTTCCTTTAACGTAATCCAGTGAGGGGAGGAGAAGGCAATGTGGGGAGTGCAGATAAAATAATATTAGACATATATAGATAGACTTCCCAGCATATAGCTAGAAATGCTAGATAAAATATAACAAACAAAAATGTATACACAGCTGAATTTGGAAAAAAAAAAAAGAAAAAGAAAAAAGCCCCAGTGTCAGAAGAAATAAAGAATCGAAAACCAGAGCAGTTTCATTGTATTAGTATATATTTGCATATGTTTGAAATGTTTAATGACAAAAAGTTTTCTAAAAAATCACCTAGGCCGGATGCAGTGGCTCATATGTGTAATTCCAACACTTTGTAAGGCCTAGGTAGAAGGATCACTTGAGCCCAGAAGTTCAAGACCAGCCTGGGCAACTTAGTGAAATGTTCAAATTAGCTAGACTTAGTGGCACATGCCTGTAGTCCCAGCTACTCAGGAGACTGAGGCCAGAGGATTGCTTGAGCTCAGGAGGTTGAGGCTGCAGTGAACCATGGTCATGCCACTGCACTCTAGCCTGGGCAACACAGCAAGACCCTATCTCTGAAAAACAAAACAAAACAAAAAATAATCAGTTTATTATCCCCATAGTTTAGGGGAATTTGAATGGCTTATAAAGACCTTATACTTTTCCTGTAAAAAAAATTTAATATATATATTCATATGTAGATAAATAATATTTTAGGAATTCTAAAGGTAAGTAGACAACTAAACATATACTACAAATCTAGTAAGTTAATGTTTACCAGAAATTCTTTAACCCCCAAAGAGTTTATCACTTCTTATTTCAGCCTGTTACTGTTTTTTATTTTACAACACAACTTTATTACAAACACTAGTGAATAAATACTACCAAATGTGGCCAGGCATGGTGGCTCACCCCTGTAATCTCAGCACTTTTCGAGGCCGAGGCAGGCAGATGACCTGAGGTCAGGAGTTCAAGACCAGCCTGGTAAACATGGTGAAACCCCATCTCTACTAAAATACAAAAATTAGCTGGGCATACTGGTGCACACCTGTAATCCCAGCTACTTGGGAGGCTGAGGCAGTAGAATTGCTTGAACCCAGGAGGTGGAGGTTGCAGTGAGCCAAGATTGTGCCACTGCATTCCAACCTGGGCGAGAGAGTGAGACTCCATCCGACCACCCCTCAAAAAACAAAACAGTAAATACTAACAAATGTAAATGTAGAAATATTTTCCTCTCTGTTACAATGTGTCACTTTATACTGATTCATTTTCTTTATAGCACCCCCGCTCCACCTGTTAAAAAAAATTGTTTTTTAAGAGCTCCAGGCATTCTGGGACAGTAAAGATCTTGCTAAAATCAGGTTTGTCTTTAATTCAAATTGTTTAGCCTGTGGTAGTTTATATAGTGTGATGTCTTCAGCCCTTCTTCAGTTTATAAAATGTTTTGTTACAAGAATGTAAGGTGACTCAGTGGGTCCTCTTTTTCCCCTTGAGAGCACACAGACTCAAGAGCATAGGGTGAGCTCACCTTTGAACCTCAGAGATCCCTTGGATATGAATAATTACCATAGGCAAGGTTGTGATTCTGTTTAAATCGACACTGAATTCATACATACACACTTTGTAGTGGTTCTCCTTGCCCCAAAGCCAGCTTAATTAACACACCCTAGTTGTTAATTTTTTCGTTTTATAAATCACCTCTGCAAATTTCAACTTATACATTTTCCAGGATGCTTGCCCTTTAGGTGAATGTTTCCCAGGTAGAACCTAAGGACCACCTGCATCTGAATCGGTTGGAGTGCTTGTTAAAAAGCAAATTCCTTGAGATCCTGTCATTTGCAACAACGTGGATGGAACTGGAGGTCATTATGTTAAGTGAAATAAACCAAGCACACAAAGACAAACTTTGCATGTTCTCATTCAATTGTGGGAGCTTAAAATTAAAACAATTGAACTCATGGAGATAGAGAGTAGAATGAAGGTTACCAGAGACTGGAAAGGGTAGTGGGGATTGCAGGGGGTGGGGAAATGGAGGTGGTTAATGAGTACAAAAATATAGTTAGATAGAATGAATAATATCTGGTATTTGATAGCACAACAGGGTGACTACAGTCAACCATAATTTAATTACATTTAAAAATAACTAAAAGAGTGTAATTGGAATGTTTGCAAGACAAAGAAAGGATAAAGTTTGAAGTGGTGAGTACCTCATTTACCCATTGGTTATTACCAATAGGTAATCACCCTCATCCTCCTCCCACCCTCCTATGTTTTGTAGTCTCCAGTGTCTATTATTCCAC